AACACCAAGCTGCATTGTACATCCAATACAACATGTATACAGAGAGCACATTGAGAGTTTCCTTTCTCCATCCCATCCTGAGTGTGAACCAACACATTGTACCCCACATATATATATATATATATATATATATATATATATATATATATATATATATATATATATATATATATATATATATTGTAGGGGTATCGAGATATTAATGTTGTTTAGCACTCAGGATGGAAGGAAACTCTAATGTGGTTTTCTTGTATAATATATAAGTTATATGAGAGACAGTCTGGTGCTGGAGATGCCGTCTGGTGAGGGGCTGCTCAGTAGAAGACGTTCGGTGAGTAGCGTGTTGTAGGAGGTAGATGTGCAGGAGCTTCGTTAGAGAAGATGTTGCCTGTTGCTGGCCTCCTGATTGAATGAATGCTGGACAGCTAGGAGCTTGCTGGAGGAGATGTTGCTTGTTCAGGAAAATGGGCAGAATGAATCTCAATGGAGAGACAGAGCTTATATACCCAGCAGCCGCTATGAGTCATGTTGGGAAAACCCGAGAAGTCGCCGGCCTTTTGGCTCGGTTGCTAGGGAACGGCGGGCATTGGAATGCGGATAAGCTTGGTTGCTAGGGAAGACGGTAGCAGGTGGTGTGCAGCTACGCAGTTTGTAGGGGAGACGTCCACTACAATATATATATATATATATATATATATATATATATATATATATATATATATATATATATATATATATATATATATATATATATATATATATATATATATATATATATATACATATACAGTAGTACCCCAATTTACGCGGTCAATTGAAGCAACAGGGTACCGCGGAAAGTGAAAACCGCGTAAAGTGAACAACAGAACATATAGAATTAATTCCAATAGAGACTGGCCGTGAACCGCTAATGGGGACTACCCGTGATAAGCTCGTTGAACAGGCTTTGTGTGAAATATAACAAGAGTCTAGGACTGCTTTTAGTATCCTGGTGGTCCAGCTGTTAGCGTTCCCCAGTCACAATCATGGGCTCATGGGCCGTGGGTTCGAATCCTGGCGGGTTGAGGTGTTGATTATATATATATGTATATTAGGGGGCAGGGAAAAAACACTTTTATTTGAGTTGCAGGCTGCACTTTTCAGGCATCGTTTGTATGGCTGTAACAAACACCTGTGCAAAATTTCATGCCATTTCATGCATACTTACCCTGCCGCATCGCGAACGACTTTTTGTCAACTTTAGTGTATACCAAAAATTAGGTGTCATTTAATGTTTTCCAGGATAATGATAAATTTTACATGGGTGACATCGATTTAATTCACATGTTATTTTACAGGTACACCGTATAGAAAATCATTACAAGTTCATATTGAAATTCTTTTTTGTGCGGAACCTTGGCATCATTTTCCTAGACAATAATCTTTGCCTAATATATCCATCTCTCGATTCGTATCCCGTCACTTCAGTGCAAGCTTCAGTCATCAAACTTTTATGCCTCTCTCGACCGCCTGAGTGCTGTTTGGCCACTTGGGCACCACTAATGGTGTCTCAAGAATGTCATTAACCTGTAGATTTGACAGAGAAGCAATGTAAGGAGGCTCAGTCTTGAGTTCATTCCTCCAGTTAATCATGGAATGATAGTTTTTTGCTTGCCACTTTAGTTTCGGAGTCACCACCTTTCTCATGTTGACTACAGGAGGCACATCCTCATTCCCATCTCCATCTTTACCCTCCTCATCAGTATAGTTTAACAAATTCTCGTCAACAGCAGCATCAGAATCTTCCTCCTCCTCTTCAGATCTGCCAGTGCATTCTTCCTTTTGCTGATTCTCCTCTCTAATTTTTCTTATCATTGAGACAGCTTTTCTCTAACAGTCATGTCCTCATCTGCACACATACCAAGAAGAAGTTGATCTGTGTGGGCGAAGTATGCATTTCTCTGGACAGCCTTCTTCACTATCGTCTCCTCCTCACTATTCAGGTGTTTCATATATAGCAGGGACTGGAATACGTTCCTTGAGCCGTGTGTTACGTAAGGGTGTATCTTGATGTAAAACCACATTAGAGCACTGAACTATATTATTGTAATGACAATTCTTTTCAACTCATGGCTGGGTCTTGATGTTGCTACATACAGCCTGAGGATTCTACTCCATAAGGTGTTCCACCTTGACACACAGGGAGGACCTGGCTCAATAGCAGCCAAGTCATCTTCAACAACACCTGTGATAACTCCTTTACAAATCCTATACAGGTATTTCTGATCCCAGGACAGATCTTTCTCCACTTCATCATTAAACACAGGGAAATCAGGGAAACTGACTGGCTGGAAGGCGACAACTGGAAGCTCAGACAAAGACTCCTTGATCTGCTTTCCAATGGGACCACGCCAATGCTCAGGACCACTTGGTTTACCATCATAGTGATAAAAAACTGCGCGGAAAGGCAGCTCATTTCCGTGAAGCTGACATATGAAATAATGGAGCGGGTGACCAAGTAACATTTCAAGATGATGAATGACTCCATTTTCTGATCCTACATTTACATTGGTTCCATCACAACCAACACACACAATGGGCTGCTGGGTTAGATTTTTCTCCACCAGAAACTCGTGAATAGTTTTGGCAATCTGCTTTCCGTGTCCAGTCTTGGGAGTCACATGTGTGAGATATTCATTGCCAGGCTCAACCATGATGACATTGTAGTGGACGACTCCCCTACAAACTAACTGCTTAGCAGCCCACCACCTGCTATCACATTCCAATGTGCCGCCTTCCCTAGCAACCAACCAGATGTTACCGTATCTTAGCAACGAAACTCTTCACCGGCGACTTTCTGGGTTTTCCCACCATGACTCATAGCGGCTGCTGCGGGGTATATAAGCTCTGTCTCTCCCTTGAGATTCAGTCTGACCAATCTTCTTGAACAAGCAACACCTCCTCCTCTGCCGCTGCCTGGCGACCCTCGCCTCTCCTCCGCCTGCCTGGCGGTCCTCGCTCCCGCCAGCGAGCATGTCCTTCTCTGAGCTTCCTCACCAACCAACTCTCATTCTGCCCATTTTCCTGAACAAGCAACATCTCCTCCAGCAAGCTCCACGCTATTAACATTTCATTCAACCAGGAGGCCAGCAACAGGCAACACCTTTTCTAACGAAGCTCCTGCACATCTACCTCCTTCAACACGATACTCCCGAACGTCTTCTACTGAGCTGCTCCCCACCACACGGCATCTCCAGCACCAGACTGTCTATCATATAACTTATATATATTATATAAGAAAACCACATTAGAGTTTCCTTCCATCCTGAGTGCTAGACAACATTAATATATCGATACCCCTACAACATAATGATCTTTCACCATCATCCTCGAACTCCATTTCTCCGTCTTCTCATTCTTTATCATCACACGAGTGGCGGTCTTCTTACCATCAAAATAGAGTGACGTCAAATTATCTAAACTAGCCATCTCAATTTCTTGCCTCTTAAATCGGTATTTTTGTCTCGCATCCCGCAGCTTATGTGGTCCAATAACCTGACTCTTGTCATCCTTTGTGATAATGCCTTAGTCAGTTAAGGTGGCAGTAGCAATGGCAGCTCCAGCATAATCACTAATCAAGTATCGGTCACAAGCGGCAGCCAGTGTAGGGAGTCTTGTCCGGTTCTGTGAACTGGTGTCTGTCAGAGCCCTTGGATCAGGGACAAAATCAGCATCAGTATTGACGAGAGGAATATCTCTTGAATCATCTGAATTATCCTCAACATAAGGAATATCTCCAGCTACCAGATATCTATGTTTTTGCTCAAGCTGTCTCCTAACTCTGTCCGCATCATGCGCCAACTTACCCAGGTCTCCCCTACATTACAGTACAGTAACACAACATTGAGAAATGAAATGAGAAAAGGCTGATAATCAATATAGACATAGCACCATACTCATCTGCAACAAGACAACTTAAATGAAATAAGAGATATGAAAAAAAAGTTGATAAACACTGAACAGAACATTGCACCGCCACAGCGGCTGTTTGGCTAGTACTGTAGGTAAATTTAAAAATTTCAGTAGAAAATGCGGCAGACTAAACCTCGACATATCAGCTTCAAATTTGGCATGGAGTCTTAGATATGTATAAGGAACAATGCCTGAAGAGTGCAGCTTTGAGCAAAATTTCACTGCCCCCTAATATATATATATAGTACTTCTCACTATTGATTATTGTTTTTCTTTTATTATCATTATTAAGAAAAGTTAAATATTATTTTATTTTACTTTTTACTATACCTATTTACTATGAATTACTATTATTATTAATTTTGCCCCCAGGTCTGATGTGGGTCAGTGACTCCAGCCTGGGTGGGCTAATCTCATAAAAAAAGAAAAAAAAAAGGAAAAGGGAAACAATGGAGAAACTTTAGCTGTTTCTGTGTGGTTGTTGTGTGGATTAATGGATGTCAAGTGATTTTGACTTGACCTCATGTGTTGTAAGTAAGCTTTTGTATGTCACACTGTGTACCAAATATGTCTTACATATATATATATATATATATATATATATATATATATATATATATATATATATATATATATATATATATATATATATATATATATATATATATATATATATATATATATATATATATATATATATATATATATATTTATATATATATATATATATATATATATATATATATATATATATATATCACTTGAACTTCTTGATATATATATATATATATATATATATATATATATATATATATATATATATATATATATATATATATATATATATATATATATATATATATATATATATATATATATTACTTTCCTATTCTTTGCCTTTCCTATTAGACATTTTTTTAACTCCATGCATGATATTGTTATGCCTCATTGCACTAGAAGAAATATATGTTAGTTACAGTTAAAAGTAAAGCGAAGAGTAGTTTTTTATGAGAGAGTGAGCTGCGTGTTTATCAGTTCCTCCTCACAACCGAGCCGACCTCATCCACTTGTCAACTATCATGTCACTACAGTCACTTGTTGATACCAGTTGGAAGAGCGTCGCAGGGAGGTAAGGATGTGCAACCTTCTTCCTCTCGTTTTCCTAGTTACCAGCCGCATTGTTTTAATTAATATCAAATTTGGCTTTAGGACTAATATTGGTCATCATTATGTGTGGGAAATACTATTCCTTAGGCTTTGACAACACAACATACGGCTGCACCAAGTGACGTTAACGTTGTCACAATTTCACAATATTTTAGTTGTCGTTAACTTATGTTGTTCGATAAAGCATATTCAAATTTAACTAATGTTGAGTGCTTAATGTGACAATTTACAAATGGTTATTAGATTTGACAATATCCTATTGGGGATCACTTTAAGATTAACTTCCCTGACATTAACCTACGTTTTGCTTTTTGCTTTTATCCTCTTCACCACTGATCAGCTCGTTAGCTGCTTGGGCGATCGGTCACGTCTCTGTTACGCACTGTTGGCAAGTACTGGGCATGCACCGGCTCCTGAATGTACCTGAACCTGCTCCAGTGTTGGTCAAGTCTGGTCTTGAAAGAGCTCACACTCGGTGCCGTCACAACACTTTCTGGTAGATTGTTCCAAGAGTTCACAACTCTCACTCAGAAAAAGTTACCCCTCACAGTTTTCTGGACCTGCGGCTTCTTCAATCTTGAGCTGTGACCCCTTGTGGGGCGAGCGTCTGCCAGCTCCAAGTAAGGACACTCAACTGAGTAGTGCCCTCTGAGATGCTTATACACCTCAACTAGGTCCCCCCTTGCCCATCTGTAGTATAAGCTAGGCAAGTTCAGGCGCTCTAATCTCTCAGGGTTGCTGAGGTGCCGAAGTGCAGGCACCAGTCTGGTGGCCCTCCTTTGAACATTTTTAATCAACTGACAGTCCCTAGCATATCTCGGGGACCAGACAGGGTGACAGTACTCCAGATGGGGAAGCACTTCACTCTTGAAGATCGTTACGAGGGACGGACAGTCTAGATATCTGAACGACCTTCTTATAAGACCCAATACTTTATTTGCCTGGTTTACCTTCTTCTCGCAATGGCTCAAGAACTTCAGCTCATTGTCAACATACACACCTTGGTCCTTCTCACATTCAGTCTCAACTAGTGCAGTTTCTTCATCCCATTGGGACATATGATACGCCTCCTTACTGTTGGTACGCCCCAGGTACATCCTCTTACACTTCGTGACATTGAATCTCAGCAGCCATTTCCTCGACCATTCCTGGAGCTCTTCACAGTTCGCGTGGCTCTTGATTTCCCGAAATAACTTGCCGTCATCGGCAAACATTTGTATGGAGGAGTGTACAACGTCAGGCATGTCATTTATGAAGCAAACAAACAACAGCGGGCCCAATACACTGCCCTGTGGCACCCCACTTGTGACAGGTACAGATGACGATTTTGTGCCATTAATCACCACACACTGCTGGTGTTCATGTAGAAAGTCTTCTATCTACGCTAGGACATTTCCCCGAATTCCGTACACTGTCGAAAGCCTTGGCAAAATCTAGGTATATTTTGTCGATATTACCACCCCGTTCCAGAATATGGGTCCAAATACCCAATACCTTGAGCAATTGTGTTAAGTAGAAACACCCCGGCATAAAACCGTGTTGGCAATCCTTTACAAGGTTGTTCCCTAGTAGATGTTCCATCACGGCATCTCTGATAATACTCTCAAATAATTTACATATTATGCTGGTTAAGCTCACCGGTCTATAGTTGAACATAGAGTGACGATCATGGTGGTTAATCTACTTAGAGATGCAATAGGCCTAGGGCGAATCCTCAGGTGACCATTGTCATCACTGATTTATGACCGTTTTTCACACTTGAGTGAGTTATTCGTGATTACCTGAAGGCAGTTCTCCATGGTGCAGTCTCTTGCAGTGTCTCTCATCAGGTTTTTAACTATGAGGTCATTTCTTACAACCTCTCTCCATGTTTATTCTTGTCCTGCCCCAGGCTCTCCTCCCCTCCACATATAGACTCTTGCAGCTCTTGATCAGGTTGGCTTCCCCCAAACCATCTCAACTTGCCTCTGTCCAAAACATTACTAATACTGTACTGTACTCTGAATACCCAGTTACCCTCTTAGCTCTGAACAGGGCCTCCTGTCTTTCAGTGTCTCATTACACATGCATCTCACCATCTTCTCATCATCTCGCTCAAGCCTACATATGTCATCCTCTTTGATTGATAATAGTCTGAAAGACTGATTCATGAAAAGGAGCAATTTCAGTAAAACTTTCAATTGAAGAAAACTTCTTTTTTGCCTCGAGGATATCCTGATGATGTGAAGGAATTACTATTTGCTTTTTGTTTTTCCCTAAGTTTTGTTAAGAGTAAAAATGGTCGTCCATGTACTGTACAGGAGCTAAAACAACTATCTGTGCAGGTGGGGGGGTCGATATACTCCAAAATTTTACGTGTGACTAGTGACAGCTCTCATACACCAAAATTTATCATCCACGGTTTCATATTGTTTCCCACAAAGTATTCACAGATAAGTTGTTTTAACTACTGTACAGGAGAATACTGTTTGTGGACAACTTTTGACACACTTCCCAGTGAATGACTTAGCATTAATCAAGCATTTCTCTATCAGGGGAGTTAGGTTAAGTTGGGTTAGGTTTGGTTGGTTTATCTATGATAAATCATTAGCTGCTGGGAAATGTTCGGGTGTCTGAAATGCTGTTCAGGCAAAATCACCAAACTAATACAGGTACTTTAAAATGAAAATTGCAAATTGTTTTTATTTGATGCTACAGTACAGTACATTACAGCTTCTCCCTGACTTATGACGGGGTTAGGGACCCAAATCCAAGTCGTATGTCCGGGTGGTCGTAAGTCGAGTGGGTCGTAAGTGGGAGAGTAGCTGTACTGCATATTATTATCAGAATATTTTTATTCGTCTACAAAAATTGTCTAATACAGTATTACCATTTTGTGTGTAGTGCAGTATTTGGAACAGATCCATTAATGTCTCTGAAACATTTGTCTCTTGATGCTCGCATACACAGACAATAATGGTGTTGCAGGAAGCTAGCGGTAACAAGTGATACTTAGTTGAGCATGACGAAAACAACAAAGACAATTTTATTTTAGGTGTTATTACTAATTTGATTTATGAAAGGTCAGGTTAGGTTAGCTTATGTTATTTTGATGATGAAATTTTGTTCTGTCTCGTGGGTGTTAGTTTTGACAGTAATAATTTCCAGTATTTACACATATAAGTACAATACAAAAAATTATGGTTAGGTTATATAAGGCTATTTCAGCTTTTTTTAGATGTGAGAATTTTTCCCGTCAGTGTACTGCACAGTTTCACGGCGGATTCTTACTTATCAAAGGAAGGCTACAGGTAGGAGAATAAATCGTGGTGAAGTTTACCTCCGAGATTATTATAAGGTATTGGTCGGTAGGTTTAAGACCGAGATCAGAAAAGCCAAGAGGAATACTGTAATGAACTGAAGGTATCAAGGGAGGCGAAGTCAAACCCCTAGAGATTCCATCAAATGTATCAAACAAAAACACGAGAAAAAATTGGACCAATACAGTCAGATACCGGTGAGCTAACTGATAACGACGGAAAAATAAGCAATGATCTGAATAAATATTTTTCAGCAGTTTTCACGACCGAAAATTTAAACATGATTCCCGAGGCACTGAGTATACAGCTGCTCCCCTACTTACAACAGGGTTAGGGACCCAAATCTAGGTAATGAGTCGAAAATGCTTAAATAATACATAGAAAATCTAAAATGGGTGTCTCTTTTTTTTTTCTCAGCACCACAGAACTCTCACTTTTAAGCTTGCCAGCCATTTTAAAGTGAATTATAAACGAAAATTTGTCAGTACACAGCGCAATCACTGACATTGGGACTCGAAAATACGTAATTTGACAAAATTTTGTTGCGACTGAGGCGGTCATATGTCTGGGTGGTCGTAAGTCGAGTAGGTCGTAAGTCAGGGAGTAGCTGCATACAGAGATATTGAAGAAAATAGATTAAGCAAGATAGTAGTGACTAGTAACTATGTTAGTAAGCAAATAGACAAGCTAAAGCCTAATAAGTAGCCAAGTCCTGATGAGATATTTGTCAGAGTATTAAAGGAATGTAAGGAAGAGCTTACTGTAGTATGCCCTTAGCAAAGTTGTTTAACATGTCATTAAAAACGGGTGTACTACCAGAATCCTGGAGGATAGCGAATGTGATACCGATTTTCAAGAAGGGAGATAGATCACTATCCTCTAACTACCGCCCAATCAGTTTAACATCAATTGTAGGCAAATTACTGGAAGCAATCATTTCAAACTCTATTTGAAATCACCTGGAGAAGCACAAGTTGATCAATGATTCCCAACATGGCTTCACAAGTGGGCGTTCACGTCTGACTAATCTATTAACATTCTTTTCAGCTGTTTTCGAATCAGTGGACGAGGGGCACAATTAAGATGTAGTATATCTTGACTTTAGCAAAGCCTTCGACAGAGTCCCCCACGAAAGACTAATAAGAATAGTGGAGGCTCATGGCATTGGAGGAGATATTCTAAAATGGATTAAGGCGTGGTTACAGGACAGGAAACAGCGAGTTAGCATTAGCGGCACTAAATCCGATTGGAGCAACATCACTACCCAAGGCTCAGTACTTGGACCATTACTATTTATTATATACATAAACGACATAAATATCGGCATAGACAGCAACATAAGTAAATTTGCTGATGACACTTAAATAGGGTGTGTAATTAAATCTGACGAGGACTCGGCAAAACTACAGGAAGATCAAAGAAAATTTTTGAATGGTCTGAAAATGGCAGATGAAATTCACTGTGGACAAATGTAAAGTACTTAGTCTAGGAGATGTAAACAGAGAAGCCAGATGAACAACGATGTTATAGAGAAATCCGACTGCGAGAAAGATTTACGAGTAATGATAAGTAGGAATCTTAAGCCAAGTAAACAATGTGTATTTGTTCAAAACAAGGCTAATAAAGTACTTGAGTTCATAGAAAGGAGTGTTAGTTACAAGAC